TATGTGTAGCTATGACGGCCTGGCATTTATTATAGAAAAAGTTAGTAAACAAGTAAACAAGATTATTTGATAGGGGAGAGTAGGGGTGCCACATCCCTTCAAACTTTTATTAAAGTCGTAAGTATTTAGAATTTTTAAAATATTTTTTACTCATTAAGATATTGTAGTTGGCAAATTTATTACTAACAATTAGGAAAATTTATTCTTGCCCTCTTCGAAATGAATTCAAAGATCGCCCCCATTATAATACGTGTAATGTTATTGTTATTATTTATAAATATTGGCATATATAAAAAAATGAATTTACAGGAATTCTATGTTGCTCAGTTTTTTTTTAATCTAACTTGTTAGCAGTGAATATTAACATAATTATTATTGAACCAATACTATCATATACATGCATTCACATCGCTCATTCATACAATTATAATATAAAATATTGGCATAAAAAGTTTTAACAATCGATTATATTTTTTAATTCTATTTTTCATTTTAATCAAATAGAAATTTTAAACTTTTGTTTTTTTTCGAATTGAATTTCCAATCGAGATTATAAAATATTAATCTTGTTGGATTTATTAATCTAATTATTATTGGATAACTAATACATATAGAGATATTTTTAATAATTATTTAAGAAACTTTTAAAAATACACTATATTAATATTTATACTCATATTTAATTAAAAAAAAATTATAAAAATTATAGAATGAATAAAAATATTTAAACTTCTTTACTACTAATACATAATAGAGGAACGCCGGGTCTAGTTGTAGCACGAGATTAAAATAAACGTTAAGAACTTGTAAAATGTTACTATGAAATTCTAATTTATGTTATTAGATTCGCATATAAAAAATATCATACATTTTATTGCTAGTAGGGTCATCTAACATTATTAAAACTGTTATAATCAATTTTATTGATATTATATAAATATTCAATTTTTTTTGGCATTGCATAATATATTTATATTATGTAGACAAACGCGTGGTGAATTCTTTTAATAATTTATCAGCAGTCTTGTAATAACGAGGATCCCGTTCAAAACTGAAACATCTTAAAAACGTTTTTCTAGAATAACGATTTTAATGTTCTGTTTTTTATTTTTATTTTATTACTTTCTTAGGAAATTAAGGCAGAAGTTAATGTGCTCTCATGTACAACAATTTAGACAGTTTGCTTTATAAATCTTGATTTTAAATTGTTAAAGAATGGAAAACTCTACTGCATATCCCATTTTGGAAACAACTGAAATTATATTAGTTTGAAATAAGTACTATAGTTGTAAATGTTCAAGTTGGACTACAAAATCAATAATTGTATTTTAAAACATGATTACTTATATATAAACTATAAAACATTGTCATTTTATGTGACATGTGTGTCATTAGTTTAAATAAATAAGTAAATTGTTATATACAGGACGATTTTTCAAACCCAACAGTAGCCGAGACATTATGCAAACTGTGACGATCGTCTTTTTCATAATGATATTGTTTATCCGCTACGCTCCTGACTAGCGGTCGGTGACGACGGTACTAAAGGACTTATCAACTATAATATATTTAACACAATTTATTTACAGTAATGCCCATATCATATTTATTACAACAAACAATGTTATATCATCCCGGTAGGAAGAAATACATAAATTATGTTTGTTCGATACTTGCAGCGGAGTGGCATGAACCCATTTTGCGGTGACTTGACCACAAAATATGGCTCAGGAATCTTAGCTGATTAGGTTTAATATTTCGCACTAGAACAATATGAGCAATTATTGCGAATTTTACCTTCGCGGGTTTACGAGAAAAGCTGTTGATATTAATTTATAACAACAATTCATTTGTATTCTATGCGGAATGAACATGAACATAACACGAAACTTTACTTGTACTACGCAACAACTATTGTTTTTTTTTTTTTTTACAAAATTTGAATGAACGCTGTTGGAATTGATAGCATCCGAGTACAACCATTACCACAACTGGGATGGTAAAAAAACTGATTGTGACGTTTCCCAGCGAGTTTTATAAGAAATGTTTGAACAGATATAATTCAAAATTAATAAGATTTGTCACTATATGTGTTTATTATTCGAGTCGTATAACTGTTTTATTTTTATCTAATCAAACTATAATTTAAGGTAAATTTACAAAAAATTCTATGTTACACATATTCATCGCAATCAATTGCCGGTCACAAGTGTGTCGTTCATACAATATGAACGACATTCTATGTACTTTACTAAAAGGGGTTGCTTTCTTTCGAGGGATGCGGTTTGACCGACCGCACGCGTTTGTACTCAAGCAAGAGGGTGCTGGATGAGTGAGACGTACGAGAAGGGTAATGTCCTCGAAATAGGTCAGCAGGCCGGGCGTGGGGATATTACCCTAGGCGGGTATACGAGTTCAGACGAACGACAGGAGTGGCGCCTGGCAATTATATCGACGTTTTAAAGATTCAAGGTCAACATACACCACCGCTTCCCTTGATATTCTGTGGAACGATTTTCTCACCCATTACCATGGTTATGAAATATTGATACATTCTCGCTTTTTCTTTCAGCTAATTTTCATCTGTCGTTTTATTTTATAATACGCTTTACCCAGTCAATTCAAAACTCTTTTGCGTCCTTCTCGATGGTTTTCTTTTGCCCTTCACCTATTAATAACCAGGGTACGTACATCGTTTGCGATCCTAGCGAATTTGAGCAGCAACAAAATTTTTGGACGCTACATAAAGTACTTATGTTTATTTTTAAAGAGCAATTAAGAACTATTGGTTGATCAGTGTCTACTGGAATTTATTTCAACGGAAACCGTTGAAATTTTATTTATCGTAAAATGTGGACTTGTCATAGTTATTATAAAACTGCTGCATAGTTTTAGCTTTATTATACATATTAAATAAATAGAGCCAATATATAAAATTATTAAAAAAAAAAACAATTAAATACATTGAAAATGTAATGCAATGTACTATATCAAATTATTTATTAAAAATATACGTCATAAAATAGTCACTTAAAGTTACATAATATTGTATTTCTGATCTTTGTGTAATATAATATAAATATGTTATATTATACAAAATAATTAAACAAGTTGTGTTAGTTTAAAACATAATTGTGAAAGTCATTGATAGTAACTTTGGAGCTTATTGCAAAATGTTCATGGACTGTCAAATTAAAAACAAAATTTCTGAAGCTGTAGCTAGAAACATTAGAAACTACACAATATTAAACATCAATATGAATTACACGGAGATAATTGAAACCGACAAATTTTCTAACGCGTACCTAAGGGATCCCATGAAATTAGGATTCGGTCTAACATAGAGTAATAAAATAATAATAACAGACCGTTCTATTACACATTTTTAAACGCGATTGCCCTAAACCAATAAAACTCTACATTTAAAATGATATCCGTATGGAAACATTTAGGTACTCCGGTCGAATGTTATGTATAGTAAATCTCCTTTGAATCGCCGTAAAAACTGAATTTTCACACGGTTTTAGGGATTTTTTGAAGACCTTATTGTCGGACAATGAATATATAGATCTCATTGACGTCCGTAGGTCCTATCTTAGATCAACGAACTCTCGGCACAATAAATTGTGTTTTTATACAAATGCGTTTTCGATATCAAAACAATAGAAAATAAATTTACAAACAGTAATATATCGAGTAGTTCGATGAATCAAAAGCGGAAATCTCATAAGTATTTTGTAAACACTATTTATAAAATGACGAAAGGACATCATTATTTAGAATAGAAACAATAATATTTTATCGAAAATTCTATGCACTGAGTGATAATATAGGTGCGCATAAAAAATATCCTTCAAAAGTACACATTTAAGTGGAATTATAAAAGCGAGGGCAAGTAGGTCTACTTTTCCCGGGAAATCCGAACACCAAATGTAATACTATAAAATTAAAGCGCGAAGCACGTGTTTGTTCGTTATTGATTTTTTGATGGAGCTTATACAACAAGAAGAAATACGCTCTTCTAAAGTTTAGCTTTATCGTTAGGGTCGAATGAACGACTCGCCTATATTTATATATAAAAGAATTACGACGGCTTACTTGCCGAAACAACCCTTTTGACTACCGTTAATTTTCAAGTTGATGTATTAGAACAAGGATTATGAGCTATTGATTAATTAAGGTAAAAAATTTAACTACCATAAATCTAAATACGGTAAACTTATACATTAGTTAAAAAAAATTGCATCATTTGTGGAGAATGTGGCAAAGAATGGTCTAAATTAAACTAGTACAAAATTTGGTCAAGTTATATCATGAAATATTCTTTATTTATAAGGGTTAAATAATATTTTTGCTTTAAATTTTTATAGGAGCATAATAGAAAGAAACACGCATGTAATTATTACACCAAAAGTTATGTTATGAATTTCAGGGTTGTCACATTTTAAACGTTTTCAACTGTTTACGTGTGTTTTAAACAGGTATTTTTAAAGACACGTTTTTAAAAACCCTGATAAATTTATAAAAACGTGGTATAAATTATAGTACTTAAATTTAAGTTAAAATGTTTTTTTTTGTAAACCACAGTTAATTAGCTAATGACACGAAAGACATTAAATATTAATTATTTTATAAATTAAATTTTAAAAAGATATCAATTTGAAGTTTGTCTGCCAAAATTAGTGAAAGCTGTAATTAGTATATTAATATTATTATACTCATAAAATCATACATATCTTAGAATTTTTACGAGTTTTATTATTTTCGAATTAATTTAAAATTAATTACAGAAAATAGCATGAAATACATTTTTTAACTGTATTATATCGTTGGATTAAAATGTTATATATTATTTTTAATTATTTCAAAATCCTATTAATAGTTCATATTACTCTTGAAACTTTTATACTAAATAAACAGTTTCGTTTTCTTACTCTATTGTATTTCTTTAATTAAATGTATTATTTATTTTTCTAAAGGTAAAGTCTGGTAGTCTAAATAATTTAGTTAATTTCTCAGAATACACCTTTACATTTCTTCCAAAAAATTGTTTACTACTGCCATGCGTCGTTAGGTTACCGAATCGCTCAATAATTTATATAAGAAACAACTGTTAACCAACATAGATAGTGTCAACTTTGTAATGTATACTTCAATAAATATAGATACAAGGTCACGGTGAGTTAAGGTATGTATGATAGAATAGGGGCAATAGCAATGTTTCATTACAATTTTAATTACACACTCTACAACAGGGGCGTGGTGGTCACACTAGTTGTTGACAAAACTCTAATATTAAGTCGCGCCTACCGCCGTAGGTGAACGGATGGGTGACCATATTTGCGCTTCTTCGGTGGCGAAAAAGCACCATGTAGCAGTGCAGAAGGCAACGGGAAACCACTGCACTTAAATTTCCCCAAGATATACCAATCCAATTGGGCAACAACAAGGCAAGACTTTTAGTAAAAAATTAATAAACTATATAACAACTGACAACATTGAAGACAAATTATACCAGGGAAATCACACATTTTAAGTACGTTTTTTAATTCATTAATGATAACTTGCGCAAAATTGCGCATTTTTTAACTTGACTGATTATTTCTTAAAAATTATATATATTTAAATAATAGTATGCATTATTTGATCAAAAACTATTGTGTTTGGTTAATAATATAATGTGTAAAATATATACAGTCAAGAATTCCCCATAATTATCATAACTTAAATTGATAATTAATTAATTGTAATTGAGTCTTTTCCTAATTTAACACATAAAATCATTCTATGTTAGGTATATAATAAGTAATACAGATTATTTTATAAATAATATATTCATAAAACAATATACGATATCGACAGTTTATTATTATATAAAACTCTGCAAAATTGAATACTATTTTTATCAAATGTTTGTTGTACAACAAACAGAATTATTAAGTCCCTAAGAGTTAAATATACAATTAGAATCATTATAAGGCATTCTAATTAAAACGTATGTGTTGACGACTACCTTCAGATTCCTCCTGCTCAGTAGTTACTGGAAACTACTATAAGACAACAAAAAATATTTTTTAGTATGTTTTCATTCTCATAACTATGATTTTCTATAATAGATAATGTATTCAAGCTTATGCACGTGTCACAGAAAACTTAGTCATTTTAACATGATATCTTCACTTAGGGAAAAATTAATGTAAAACTAGTAAATGTTAAAAAGCATTTTTTACTAATTTTCGAAATCTTTGAATTAATAAATCTTATGTGACAAAATCACATATACATAATATTAAGATAAAAAACGATTACGAATTTATTTAGTATAAAAAATGTATATCATCGGCTATTACCAATTTAGCAATTTAAAAAAATATTAACATGAGATCTTATAAAAATTAACTGAATATAATTTAAATTTATTTCAATACGTTTTATTTAGTTTTCAAAATAAAAAACTTTAGATCAAATTATGTAATTTTTTGAATATTTATACAATCTGTCAACTGGAATATAATATTGTAGACTTTACATATATTTGTGTATGATGTATGCGTACGCTTTATTTATATATACATCATCAAATATTGCAGTTTGTCACCTTTTTACTGACAAACACGTGTACGAACTTGACAAACAAAGACGATGGGCAAGTAGACGTAATTATTACACACGAGACATAAAAAGTTCTTAGTAGTGAGTTACTAAACCGAGACTTTTATAGCGCATGTGTGCTCCATAAATACTTTATTAATCAAAGTTCAGACCCGATTCCCATATTGTATGTCAAAGGTGTCCGTTATGACAAACGTTTAAAATGATTGTTCAAATAATGTTTGTAATATTTATAATATTGGGAATTAGAAGTTTCAAAGTTGTATTTTTCATCAATATATATATTATATTTAAAAATAAAATGGTAGTTTTAATTTAGAATCATTGCGAATAAATATAAATATTCATAATTAACAGCCAATTTTTGTATATCTAAATCGACATTTAAAATCTCAACTTTACTTAAACACAATCAGCCAAATTATAGATAAGTTAATTAATAGTCAATTAAATTTTAACTATTTGTTGTACAAAATCAATGTTACAATAAGTCTCAAAACTATTTATCTATAAATTTAATAATACCAGCTGCTGTGCAACTATTTTTAGCTAACTTTTCTATTTTTTACATACTGTGACATCAAAAAACATCTTAGTTCCATGTAAAGTTCAATATGCAAATTAAATAAGCTTATTATAAATAAAATTTCATATGGAATTAAATGATTCCAATAATTGATGAACATGCTTTTTGACTTATTCACGATTTTTTTTTTTTTTTTTATATTAATATTTTTTTAGCCTAGCTATAATAAATCCAATACTGATCATGTTTTTAAAATCAATTTATATTAATTTTTCTCAAATTGTCAAACCTTTCCGCATAGAAAATCTAAGAACTTACTTTCCCTTTAATCAACTATTCTTAATAAATGACCTTTGATTAAAGATTTTTATCGAAAATCTAGAATTTTGGTTTATATGTTTATGATCAAAATAATTTTTCTATATTAATATATAATTATATTTAAAAGTAAATCCAATAGTATAAGTAATCAAAAGATGATCAGTTAATCATAATTCACACAATTACTCGCAAAATAGATACAATATTGTAAACAAAATTTTTTTTTTTGTTACATATATATATATATATTTATATAATTATTTATCAGTTATTAATTACTTTTATACCTATCAATTATAAAACATATCACTATAATATATAGAAATGTCAATTTTATTTCTTTTTTAATGACAGCATAGATATTTAAAGCTTATGAAATAGAAAATGATGGGTCGATTACAATATTTTATCTAATATTTCGGCAGTTTTAATTATAGTTATATAAGTTTTAAAAATTTTTAAATATAGAGAGAAGAAGTGCGAGCCATGTTATTTTTATCATTCTGCCTCGGTCATAGACGTAAATTTATGAAAAATCTGAATGGTTAAATTGATTTTTCCCAACCGTAAATTTCTTTTATATAAAAATACATATGATTTTTTTTAATTTTGAAGGGATTTCGGCACCTTTTAGGGGGATAAGCCGCTTAAAGTCTTTTTGACTTAGTTCCTCCTACCAATCATATACAAAAATGTTTATGAATTCTGAACTATTGGTTCATAATTGTGTTCGATCTGTCATTTTCTATTTTATAAGCTTTATATATCTATGCTGTTCTTTAGCGTTCAGAGAGTTTCATTAAATTATGTTATCAATATTATTCTTAATAATAATATTAAAATATTATACAACCTTTCTTTCAAAAAATTATCAATTTTATAGAGTAATTATTTTTTTAATTGACCGTATCATAACCAATAAACTAAATTATTTTTAATATAATATTCAAAATTTGGAGTTTCTTTAGTTAAAATAATTTAAGTAATCTACACAAAACCATTTGTACCAAAACTACACTGAATAAAAAAGAAATATTGAAATCTAAGCTTTTTTTCTTAATTATTATAATTTACTAAATGTAGGGTTGATAAAAAAACTGAGAACAATGTATTGCTTATATAATTATACACATTAATATAATATTACATTTAATTTAGTGAACATTTTTCATCTATTACATTACATACATTAAAATCATGTATATACAGGTGGAACAGATCTACTTGATAAATTTTTAATTTTTGATTGAATAATCATGTTTGTGTATTTTTAAACTTTTTTATATTTGTAGACGTTTAAAGTGTACAAGAACTGTAATCCAAACCGCACTACATACATGCCGGTGAATTAAGCTCGTATTAGTGTATATTTATATTGCATATCTTTCCCGCATTCCATACTCACATTATGTATTAGAATGCTTGTAATTCAGTATTTGTCTTGAAAATGTTATCAACCCATTAAAAATGTTTGTAAGAAAATTACTAAAATCTTGCCATTTTGAAATAAAAAAAATGTTTTTTTTTTCATTTTTCTTATTTTTAAAAACAATAGTAAAAAGTATAATTTTTAACGTAGTCTAAAAATGTATAAATTAAAAAAAAAATACAACAACATGTCAACTATTACAAAAGTTATGAAAGTTAAATATGTTCTACTTTTAATATATAAAATGATTTATTTGTCATGAATCACTTAACTGAAAAATAAAAATTATATTGAGGATTATACTTTTGAGTTCTTTTAGGTGAATATTTTATTAAATTTATTAAACATTAAGAATTTTTAATTTTCATACCTTAAATCTTACATTACTTTTTCAAATAACAACATACATATTTAAATAGCTCATAAAATAGATATAGTAAATAATAGATGTATTATGATCTAATTAAGAAAATTTTAAGTCGATAACAACTTTTCAACTAGTATTTCGGAAGTTATTATCATAATATAGTAATAGTGAAACACGTGTGTTGTTATTTTTATCATTAGTCATTTTCCGACTGTACTCTTCCTCCCGCCCAATTATAAAAATATTAATAACTTCCGAAATACTAGTCTCAATGTTATTATCAACCAGTTATTTTCCCAATTGGATTATTATATATTAATTATCTAGTTAATTATAAATTTTAAATTTGATGAATATATTTTACACCTCTTAGAAAATACAATATATGAAAATTAAAAAACTTAATAATTAATAAATCGAAAAATATGTTAAAGTAAAAATACCAAAATTAATTTTTTAATATAATAATTATCTTAACAGAAATCGAGTTATTAATATTAATAAAATCATCTTATATACAACAACTTAATAACTTTTTATCATTTTTCCATGAAAATATAAATCATTTTCCAGAAATAGACATTTACTCAAAAAATATATATCTTCTATTAAGCATACCATTATTAAAAATTACCATACTGCTTAAAGTATTTTAAGATACGAGATTTGGATTTTAAAAGATGGATAGAATTTTGTAGTAATAATAATAAGTTATTGTCGGTTTGTTGGTTGTGGCATATTATAACCAAAAATCGAATTTTATTGTTTGCCTTCTTTGTGAATGCACCTCGGGAAATTCGATGGTACCTACCTGAGGCATTGAAGGGTTAATGACCGGTTGAATGTATATGAAGTGTTCTTATTTTTGGGTTTTGGCAATTTTTTATTAATTCCATATTGTACATTATTAACCGACTAAATGTGTTATATAAAAATGACAAAAACACCACAGTAAAAATCAACTTTGAATTTAAAAACAAAAATATCAAAATGATTTTTATAAGAAACACACATACATAAATCAACAAGAAGAATATTTTCTATGTACATGTAAAATAATATTATTTTGGCAATACTAAAATTTAGAACTATTTCATGTTACATTCCACAAAAAAAATCAAATGAATCAACATTAAAAATTATACGAAAATATAATCAATGTTATCATAAACAGGTCTATATGTTCCCCGTTACAAACCAATACAATGTATCGTAATAATACAAGACGGTTAAATAAATAAAAGATAAAAAAAAATTAAATAAAGAAATTCCCCCTAAAATTTGTTAATATTCAAAAAAGGAAATTTATTGGTAATTTCTGACTTATAACACTACATAGCCGCAGAGGTATCCCCGTACCGGTTTGTTTCCGGTAACTCGGTCAATGTCACTGAGGCTCGATTGCGTTCATTCACCGAGTATAACTCCACCGCCACTCTCCTCTAATGTCGATTTCATAATTCATGACGACTACTGGTTCCTCTCACCCATGTGCGTATATTAACGATTCTATTTAGGAATAATGACGTGTGATTGTAAAATTATGCGAAATTTGTTCTTTAACAACATACTAAACATAATGAAGTATCGATTAATGAGTTACGAATGATACATAAAGGTGTGTAGAAAAATGATTTTCACATTCTGGCAAAGTTTTTAAGTAACATATATTTGAAAAAAATTTTAGATTGTAATACAGAACAATATGGAATTTTAAGGAGTATATAAAATTTTAAAAGAATGCGATATAAAAGCAATGATTTTTTTACAATTGGTCGAGATATGTCTCTTGCCAAATCCAAAATAGCTAAATAAAATATATCTTTAATTCATAACGCTTCCTTGTATTTCAAATATTTCGTTAACTATGTGTATTTGTTTTTTTTTTAAACATACAGTATATGAAACAGCAGCTAATGGGTTTCGAGTCAATAAAATAAACACAGATGTTATTATACACGTTTGTTTCATTTTTCTGGTGGGAATAAATTTCATACAAACCACACATTCTGTTTATCGAAGTATATGAACATTTTGTTAGAATTGTATTTAGAGTATATCTAATCTAGACAAGACAATAATAATAATAAAATTATGTCTTAAACGTCCAACGATGCAATACGATAAGAGAGTATTGCTTTAATAAGCTATTATTTCTTCCATCGACATAAAATTTTTGTAGGAAAAACTTGTACGATATTCAATTAAAATAATAATAAATATCTTTATTTAAGTTTTATGTTTTAATATACGTTATAAAATAATAAAACTTAGATAAACCCTAATACCTTGAAATTATAATTTTAGCGAATATTGATAAGTGAATAAACTGAATGATCTAATAGTTAGGTAAATGTATGTACAGTGCATTTCATACAATGTAAAAGAATTAAAAAACAATAAAACTTTAGTAAGAAGGATTTAAAAAAGACAAGCATGTTTTGTTATTTATATACAATATGCATACTATAATATCAGTCGCGGTCAAATAATATTGTCGCGGGAGTATGAAAAACCATCATGATAAATATCATGAGAGCTGGGCCCCTATACCTCAAAGCTTTTTTATTTGTATTACTATAGAAAAATCCATTTTATATATTAAACTATATTAGAATAGTACATCGTTGAATTTAAGTATAAATAATAACCAAAACTTAAAAATATTTTAAATTTGTAGAATTAATCATTGTTCGTAATAATTTTGCTCAATAACTCTTAAATTAAATTATCATATATATAGTTTCCAAAATATAATATATATACAAAAATTCTACAAAAATGTTAAAAAGTATATTTTAATGTAGAAAATCTATCCCCATTATCACCTCCTATTTGACCGACACTGTATAATATGACATAAAAAAACTCAAGTCATTAATATAATATGTAAGTAAGAATAATATTATATTTATATATACGATAGATTTTCTCATAAAACTCATATACCTTGTACGAACTCTGCCTATTTTTTTCATTTATATTTCAACAAAGTTAAATTGACTATTTTGTTGGTTTCTAAGATTTAAATTATCATAAAAAATTAGTTAAATAAAGTTAGTTTTTATATGGTTTTTAAATGATACTGATTTTAGAACCGTTTTGTTTAATTTTTCGAAGTATGTTCTTAAGTCTAGTACCGTAGCCTAAAATTTTATATAGGTCTGTTAACAGTTGGTAAACTAACATTTGGTGTTAAAATATTGATTGCTGGATAAGATATTTTGTATGAGTAATTATTATCCTATAAATTGTTAGACTGGCTCATTTTTTGTAATAGCAAAAATAAATAAAATACAGAAACATTTTATGAAAACTTACTATTTTTGTAGTATAAATTGATCTAATTGATTATAATTCACTTACCTGAAACATAATAAATAAAATTTGGATTAAAACTAATCATTAAATATAATACAAAATTATTTTTATAATAACAATTATTTCGAGTATAGAAAAGCTATTCGTCAATCTGGAACTAACGATAGGAAAAAATGAAAAATGCACGTATATTTAACAATTATTCTTTTGAAAATTTTCAAGAGTGAAAACTCACAATTACAACGAACATGTTATCCGTGTAATAAGCATAGTCATTTAGAGTGAAAATAATAAAGTGTTGAGTTCTATAATAATTGTATCTTGGACTAGTTCACATATATAATTTAATTAAGCACACTTGAAGATAAGTACTTCCAAAATTGCAAATACTGAAGTCTCATATGCGTATATATGTTGACATAAGTCGTCATGTTTTTGAAGTCTATTTTTTCATACAAACTTAAGTTGAAGAATTATAAAAAAAATATCTTACATCCCTTTAAATTGGAATTTTTACGTGGTAATCATAGGTTAGCACGATTGTATTTTTGAAATGAATGGATAAGGTTAGGTTTAAAAAAATTATATCTTATTTCTAATCATGGAATACATACATGTCTTAAACAAATTTTATTAAATGGAAAGCAAATGGGCTATTTTCATGTAGGCGCGGACTCTTTTTTTTAGATTAAGCTTGTTGAATAAATTTCTAAATCATAATAATTAACAAATACTTTTTCTATAACGAGAGTCAAATCAGTTAGGTATTTTTAGCATGCTTCTTAAAACCATAATCAGTATATTAAAAATCTTTTAGTAGCACATATTACATAAATATTATTTAATACTACTCGACTAGACTATTATTCGTAAGTTATATACATTGTATATAACTTACATATATAAGTTTTATTAAATCTATACTAATATATGGTTAATGTTTGATTAATTTAGAATCTCTAATAGAATTTCAATTATTAATATTTATACCAATTAAAATTTATATATTTCACATTTAGGATTGATAAGTTATAAATAAAAGTATTCTGAACAATAGATAAATTGATTTTGTTCCATAAAAACTATAAATACAATAAGAAAAAATAAAAAATTGACACGGAAAATGAATAATAGCATATATTCATGAACGATGTGGCCTTTTAATTTAATTGTTATTAAGTAAATAATTCAGAAATATTATAGTTAAACTCACTATTTGTCATTGCAATGATTTTATTTTTATAGTCACTGTTCAGGTTATTATGTCAAACAATGTGATTATGTTTTTGCTTAGATAAATATGGAATTAAATACATTTATTACTTGAATCAAGCAAAGAATGTTCATATTAAGATGATTTATAAGTTTAAATTTT